ACTAGTAGCTTCTTGTTCCTACTAGTAAGGCACCTGTTACTAGTAGCGTGGCACTTGTTACTAGTAGCGATGCACTTACTGGGTCGTTTCACGCCCAGATCTAATCATGCCGTCGTTTCACGCTTGCAAGTCGTAAAAGGGAAGGCCCTCGCTCTTGTTTCACCTTTGCGCCTTGGTGACCATGGAGGGCACGTTGCATAGAGCGGAAGCTCAAATAAGCCGTCAAACAACTGAAGGTGTGGTTCACTCGACCCAACACCTCACGATGCCGTGCGATGCGGCGCGATGCTCCTTTGTTACGTTCGTAGTAAGGATGCTCCGTTCGTAGTACGGCCAGGAGCCCCGTTCGTAGCGAACATTGCTCCTAGTAGCGATGCCCTTGTTACTAGTAGCGTCCTTGTTACTACTAGTAAGGCACTTGTTACTAGAAGCGATGCACTTGTTCCTAGTAGCGAACCTTGTTCCTAGTAGAAATGCCTTTTACCTAAAAATTCCGAAATACGATTTACAATAAGCCTTTCTTGGCAATGTTTAATGGGAACGGGGATGGCGGGACCTGCCAGCATTCCACTTGAGAGTTGAGCAACGAAAGTCACACCGCTCCAAGTCCGCAACAGTCGCTTACTAGTAGCGATGGCCTCCAACCAAATAGCGTCCTTGTTACTAGTAGCGATGCCCTTTGCTACTAGAAAGCTTTATTGTTACAGTGTTGACAGGAGTGAAGTCGCTCAAGAGATGTCGTCCTTTTCTTTGGCCGTGGCCCCGCCTCCTTAGGTAGTTACTTAATCTACTATGGTTCCTAGATGTTCAGGAAAACAGACCACTCAAGGTGTGTCTCTTTTACCTAAACACCTGCCACGACTGGCGTGGTCTCAAACGCTCAAGTGGGTGAGCGAGAAGAATGTTCCGTTTCTCTCTCGCGGAAGTTCGGATTCCACAAGAACGGGACGGCCATCGCTTTCAGGTTGGAGGCCATCGCGATTGGGGTTCGAGGCCATTGCTAGCCCTTTTTTCGAGGAGTGCTTGCCATCCGAACAAGAAGGCCGGACACGGAGTCCGCTGATTTTGATTCCTGAAGCCTCGGTGCGTACGACAGTTCGGGTAGGGCCAAGAAAAACCAGCTTTGCTGACGGGGACATTTGGTTCCTAGTCTTTGGAGAAAGTTTTTGGCCGCACGAGCTGTGTTACGCCCCTTGAAGTCATGATTCACACCTAGTGTCAGAGCCGTGGCACTCGCAAAAGTGCTCCTAGTAGTAAGGTTAGGAGCGTCCTTGTTCCTAGTAGCGATGCCCTTTGCTCCTAGTAGCTTCTTGCTCCCCGTGGAGCAAAAAACCGAGAACCAAGCAGACCCGGAGACTAAGTGGCGAGCCAAAGGACTAGTGGACCCACAACTCAGCTTTCACATCTGACTTTCCAGCTACCTCCATCCCCACGCAGCACCCGTTTCCAGCCTTGGCCGCTTGGCTGGTGAGAGGTTGAAAGCTTTCAATTCCGCTGTGGCCGCTATTGCCCAGCCAATCCTAGCACGGATCAAAGCGCCGCTTAATCCGTTTAAATGATGCCCGAAATCATCAAAAGCTCAAAACGAAGCGACCAACATGTCTAGCTGCTAGCAGCTGGCTTCCTGGGGCGTCTTCTGCCAAGGATCGACCAACAAAATGACGTGCTGCCAACATACCAAGAACTGAAGAACAAGTCGCAGCAGGTGCAGGTCTGACACCTCTGCAGCACTCCTGGCAAAATCAGAAAGGTTTGGTGCTGAATAATTTAGACATGAGGTGCCTTCGCCTCTGTTTGCTCAAGCAAATGATGAAAGCTCCCGGAAGAGTGGTGGTTTTAGGTATGTTGCCACGGATGTGACGTCGCATGCGGGGGCATCTCCCATATAGACTAGGAGCGCTACAGTTACTAGTAACAAGGACGCTACTAGTAACAAGGGCATCGCTACTAGGAGCAATGTTCGCTACGAACGGGGCTCCTGGCCGTACTACGAACGGAGCATCCTTACTACTAGTGACAAGAAACTACGAGTACCAGGAACAAAGGGCATCGCTACTAGGAGCAAGGACGCTACTAGTAGCAAGGGCATCGCTAGTAGTAACAAGTGCCTTACTAGTAGTAACAAAAAAGCTACTAGGAACAAAGGGCATCGCTAGGAACCGAGCGATCGGACGCTACACGCATGGCTAGGCCCTAGCGGCACATCTCCTGGAGCAAAGATCCGCCAGGTGTCGCTGTGGAGCGAAGAAGCGCAAGGCGTCTCTGAGCGCAGTGTGCTTCAACCCTGCAAACAGCTTCTAGCTTCTAGAAAGTAAGTGGAAGCAAACAAAATTGCTCTCTCGGGAGAAACATCACGAAACCAGACAAAAAAATGCATAAAAAGAAGCAAACAAAGCAGCTTCTGGCACTTTCCAAGGCACCACATAGGTCAAGCATTCTCAACAGGGCGCCCGCTAGCAAAGGAGGGACCATCAAGAAACCCAAGATTCTGGCGTTCTCTGGGCTCGGCCACCAGCTTGGCTGATATTGCCACAGTTTTTGCCTACAAAGACTCAACGCAAATGCCATTTCAAATTGGAGATGTATCTATATGCCCCTTGCAAAGCTCCAAGCTTGCCACTTCGAAGAAAAGAAAAAGAAGAGACAGGCCTAAAGAGTCTGAAGAAAACAGGAACCGAGCAAAATACACAAATCAAAAACCACTATGAACGACTATGGAAAAGGTTCCCAGTGTTTTTTCTGCCGTTTCCTCGCGCGTCGTCGTGTCGCACCTGTAGGGCCATTCATTTTGATACCATGCAGGAGCGCCTCCGGGATGTAAAGCGACGACCTTGAACCTCGAGAGTGAGTCGAAACGGAAACGGAACAACAATGGCCTTCAACCTACAGGGTCCTTGGTTTTGTTCAACCTCTGATGATGTTTTCCTTTGATGTGTTCTGTTCAGCCCGTTCGGCCCGGGCGACTAAACACGCTCCTGGCTACTAGGACGCTGCTAGTAACTGGACGCAGGATAGCTCAGGTTTCCTCGCACTCATGATCTGGTTCCTAGACAATATTGTGCATCGCCCTAGGGCATGAAGTGAGTTGGAGGCCATTGCTACTAGGTTAGAGGCCATCTGCTGGCTTGGAGATCCAAGGAGCATGAAGTGAGAGGCAGTGTCCTCTTTGTCCACCTCGTTGGTTTCTTGATGCCAGCGCGTTTGAATCTCCACCTGTCTGGGCCCCCAGTTCTTGCCCATGTATCGTCCCAACAGGTAGGGCACGAAGACGGTGTCCACCACGGGATAGGAGCAAGAAGACGGAACACAAAGGCCAAATTCCAGCGCCACATCCTTCAAACTTCCTTAGAAACAAGTGCATCGCTTCTAGAAACAAGTGCCTTACTAGTAGTAACAGGTGCCTTACTAGTAGTAACAAGAAGCTATTTGCTAGTGGCCAAACAAGGCCAAACATTTCCCAGGGAACCTTCATTGAACCAAATGTTTGGCATGTCAGGCAGCACAGTAACACTGCTGGTTTTCTGTGAAGATCGCAGAACTGCGACTGTGCCTGTACATTTGACTGTATACATCATGGCTTACGCATGTCCTTGCTTTAGCTGATTTGAAGTTATTCCCGCCCAGCCAACAGCCGACAAGTGTGTCTTTGTCGATTTCAACACAAGTTCGTCCCCAACTAAATGCACATCCTCTAGCCCCATGCCTGCAATGCGAATCGCAAGAAGGCCCCAAAAAAAGCTGTGGCCACCATCGGTGCAAACCTGCAACTGGCAACGGTTTGTTCCATGTCTCAAGTTTTAAAAGTCCACTGTGCTAGCCGCTAGCCTCCCTGGTCCTCACGAAATTACCGTAGGCAGGTGAGTCACTATCCCCCACGACTACGAACAAACGCGACGGTTGGAGGCCACAGTAGTAACAAGAAGCTACTAGGAACAAGTGCCTTACTAGTAGTAACAAGAAAGCTAGTAGTAACAAGAAGCTACTAGGAACAAGTGCCACGCTAGTAGTAACAAGTGCCTTACTAGTAGTAACAAGAAGCTACTAGGAACAA